GCCTGTAGTGGCGACCTGCGACTATGGAGATATAAACAGCTTTATATAAAGGTAAAAATAATAAAACAAGGTCTTTGTCTGCAATGATTGTTTTTTATTATTGTCATTAGTGATTATCTCAATTTTGGCTAAAAGAATTGACAAAATCCTACACACTGTGCCTTTAATCTACATTTGACTACATTTAGCTTTTAGCTAGTAGTGTTGTTTTATCTATAGTTTTCTGCTTGTTTTAAATTGTACAATTCCAATAACAGTACTTATATTCATCCAGCATATTCAGGTGAAGTCATTCAATAATTTGCAYAGAATTTTCACATAAAATGTAATTTTTATGTTTTCTATCATCTTTCATTTTAAACGTCTTCTATTTCACTGATTTCTACTTTTTAAAGAATGACCAGGGGATCAAAACAGCTTAGTAAAACCTGGATGAAAATACAAACAGCTACAAATATTTCACCCGAAGTAAGTATGTAAGTAAGTAAATAAATAAGTAAAGAAGTAAGTAAATAAGGAAGGAAGGAAGGAATGTTCTGTGGCGTTTCATCTCGTAACACCCAACTAAACATGTTTTGATCAGCGTTTCTCAAATTTTATTGCATAAAGTCAGAAAACATTTAGCTCATTTAATTCATGCAAGAAATCTGAAGAATATGAACAATTAAAACACCTGCAGTTGACAACGGGGTTGTCGGGCTGACTGATGGGGAACTTCAGCTCCTCCATGTCTGGTCCATTCAGAACAGCACGACCTCCCTCGAAGGTCAGAGACACCAGCACCAGACGAGACTCCTGCCTGGCTGTCACCATGTTGCCTTCTTCAGTCACCACCAACCAGTGTCTGCAACCACGACACAACACAAATACAGCTTATTGTCTGCTGCACCATTTAGAAGACCTGCCTACATCCGGCCTCTGAAAGATGCAACAAAAAGCAAACATCTCTGGACCGACAGCATCACACAGAAACATCACATTCTTCTTACACCTTCCTTTTGTTTGGTGGAGAAGTGATCCGTTCTGCAGAATGTTATTTAASCATTAACACAGTAATGCATCTAAAATGAAGTCGTGATTTTTTAAAAATTATTTTGTAGGTTTGTTGTTTAATCTGTTTTGGAGTTGCAGCTAAATATATCAGGAGCAAATCCCTCTGAAACACGACTTTGTTCAGAAACAGYTTCTGGATGCAGTCCAAGCAGGTCMGATTTATTTCTTTGTGCCAGAGCAAATAATGAATTACCCTCAACTAAAGCAACTTTACACATAAAAGTGAGTTTAGAACATTTCACTTATTATTTTAAGATCCATATATAAAGTTTGTATGTTTATTTTTTTCCAGGRATTAAGCATTTAAGTATTGCAAACAAGTGATCCAGATAATTTAAAATTTCAGGACTTTAATCTGGAGGTATTTGTTTTACAACCAGATCAAAGTCTCTGCACAGGCCAAAGGGCTCATCTGAGTGCACTGTTTTTTGTTTGTTTGCTTGCTTACTAAAGCACAAAATGATAAAWTAATGTTTGACCAATGATTCCTTACCATATTTTAGCTTCTGATCCCCCCAAAAAAGACTAAATATTTTTGACTGAACTACAAAAAATTAAAAGTAAATAAGGACATAATGACAATTTGAGTGGCTTTAACTGGCACTACTTTTTTATGTATGATTATTGTTGTTTTTTTATGTTTTGTAAAAAGGACTCATAGTGTAGCCCAGTGGTTCCCAAACTTTTTATCTTCTGACCCACAAAATATTCATGGCAAAAACTTGTGACCCCAAATATTA